GTCCATAGCTATTCTCCATACTTCTTTCTTAAAAGCTTCTTAAAAGCTTTTTGGCTCCATAAGCATCAAGTTGCATGTCTCGTATATCTCTGTTAAGGATTTAGTTCGTCTTGGTGGCGAGTCTAGAGGAGATTCTGAGGCTTGTACTGGATCTAATTGTGTTGTTGGTTAAGTTGGCGATCTAGTTTGATCGTAGCCTTCTTCAATTTCTTGTCTTGGAAATAGGGGTATGTTGATACTCTTTCTTTCAACTTCTTCTGTCTCCCAATTGTATGCAGCATCTTCGTCGAATTTTATGTCTCAACTGATTATGAGCTTCTTTGTTCTTAAGCTATAGACTCGATAGCCTTTTGATTGAGTGCTATAGCCTAAGAAGATTCCTTTCTCAATCTTCTCGTCTAGCTTGCCTCTTTTCTCTTGTGGAATGTGAGTGTAGCATATGCAGCCAAAAACTCTGAGATGCTTTGCTGATGGCTTTTGCCCACTCCAAGCTTCGATCGGTGTCTTATCTTGCACAACTTTGGTTGAACATCTGTTGAGCAAGTAGACTGTAATGCTTATTGCCTCTACCCAAAAAGCTTTTGGAAGACCCTTCTCCATGAGCATGGCTCTTGTTGTCTCCATAACTGTTCTGTTTTTTCTTTCGGATACTCCATTTTGTTCTGGTGCATATCCAATTGTGAGTTGATGCTCCATGCCTTCATCTTCATAGAACTTGTTGAATTCATCAGAAGTGTATTCTTTGCCTCTGTTACTTCTTATCGTCTTGATGTTGTGACCACTTTGCTTCACGACACGGGTATTGAATTTCTTAAAAATATCGAAGACTTGTGATTTATCTCGCAAAAAGTAAACCAATGTCATTCTAGTATAGTCATCGATGAAGAGAATGAAGTACCTGTTTTGATCATTTGATGGAGTACGCATTGGAACGTAAACGTCTGGATGGATTAACTCTAGTTGCTCTTTGTCTCTCCAAGCTTTTTCGGATGGGAAAGGTTGTCGATGTTGTTTCCCGAGCATATGCCCTTCACAGACATTGTTGAGTTCCTTGATTGTTGGTAGGTCTCGCATCATGTTCTTTTGCTGAAGGATCTTTAACCCATGAAAATTGAAATGTCCGAACCTTCTATGCCATAGCCACGACTCGTCCACTTGTGCTTGCATTGCTACATTGCTTGCATCTCTCCATTGTATAGGAAAACATCTGTTTTCTTTCATTTTTATTTTTGCAATTTCAAGGGATTTGTCTTACTTGTCGTAGATTATGCAAGAATCTCCCTCAAAATGTAAAGAGTATCATTTCTCCATCATTTGACCTACACTAAGTAGGTTTTGATCAATGTTGGGGAATAAGAATACATCATTGATGTATTTCTTGCCTTGTCTGGTGTCAATGACAATGGTGCCTTTGCCCGTTGCTTCCATGAAGTCGCCATTACCAATTTTGACTTTTGTCTTGACTTTATCGAGACTATAAAAGATGCTTTCATTTTTTGTCATGTGTTTATTATACCCACTGTCTAGATACCAAGTATCCTTCTTTTCTTCTAATGCAGCTTGGCAGACGTAGAAGAGATTATTCTCTTCATTTTTCTCTTCTGAAAAGTTAGCTTGATGGAATTTCTTCAAACAACAAGTTTTTTCAACGTGCCCGAACTTTTTATAATTTTGGCACAGGGGTTTTCCTTTAAACCAACAATCTTTCTCCAAGTGGTTTTTTCTTTTACAAATACCACATGGAGGATACTTGTCATTATTTTCTTTTTGTTTTCCTTGTGACTTTCTCTCATTAGCTTTTGATTTATGAGACCGCGAATTAATTTAGACTGAAAGGCATTTTCAGTTGAATTTTCATTCTGCCTATCTCGCCTATTTTCATATGCTTCGAGAGAGCCCATTAATTCAGTTGGTGATAAAGTTTCTAAATCCTTTGTTTCTTCTATCACAAAAATTATTGCATCATATTTTTCTGTACAAGAAATTAATATTTTTTCAACTATTTTCTTTTCAGAAATAATTTCCCCATAGGCTCTCATTTGATTTACTATTTCTTTTATTCTAGAATAGTAATCTTTTGCGATCTCATTATCCTTCATCTTAAGATTTTCAAAATCCCTTCTAAGCTTCTACAGTTTAACAGTGCGTACCTTGATAGTTCCTTGGAACTCCTTCTGCAATGCATCTCATGCTTCTTTGGCAGTTGACGTGCCTATAATTCGTGGAAATATATCGTTTGCCATTGCTTGCTACAAGCAAAATAACGCTTGAGAATCCTTTTGTTGATTCTCTTATTGGACCTTCTTTTGAATTGCTGAGAGAGTAGAAGTGTCTTCAGGAATACTGAATCCTTCTTCAACAATGTTCCATAGATTTTGTGATCGAAAATAGGTCATCATTTTGATGGACCAAAAATCATAATTTTCTCCATGGAAAATTGGAAGAGAAAGAGAAGAGCGGTTGGAATCGGTAATCATAATGAGTAGGAAGGATTACGCCCAGTGTTGATCAAACAAAGCTCTGATACCACTGTTGGTATACTGAAGGTATAGAAGAGTAGAGTACATGATAGGAAATAGGAGAGAGAATGCTAGTAGCTTCTGTATTTTTTCTGTTTCTCTCATACTCATTTGCAATACAAGAGGTTCTATTTATAGTAGCTAGAGTCGGTGGTTGGAAGGTAAACCGACTTTACATTTGTGGTTAATATTATTTGCTCTAGATCCTTCTTTTACTGAAAGAATTTTGACCACACAAATTTATGTGCTTCTCAAGTATAACTAGGAAGTTCTAGAGTAAAGTATTCTAGAAATGTGTAGCAACTTCTAATAAAAGAAAAATAGAAAGCATATCGAATAAYTCATAGAACATGATTGTTTATAATATTTATATTACCTATTTTATGATGTTACATGTGGATCYKYTCAAGTATAACTAGGAAGTTCTAGAGTAAAGTATTCTAGAAATGTGTAGCAACTTCTAATAAAAGAAAAATAGAAAGCATATCGAATAAYTCATAGAACATGATTGTTTATAATATTTATATTACCTATTTTATGATGTTACATGTGGATCCGTTCAGGTAGTTGAAGGAAAAAATGGTTTCATTTCTGGGTGATTTTTTAACATTGGGTTGGTGTTAGGCATTCCTTATGAGAAGCAATTATGACTTTTTTCTGATTAAGGTCCAGGAGTTTGCTTTGCCCATGTGGCATGTGTCTGTTGGTCCAAACAGTTGAACCATTCAGACCTGGAACCAGTCATCTATGTAGTTCAATTTACCACTTAATTCAGATTTTTCTAAGGCTGCGTTTGGAAACGATGCAAATGGAGTGTAAATCCCGGTTCAGGTTCATTTTTGTTTGTATTTGGCAATATTATATTTATGTATTGACAAATGACAGAAAACACATTTTTCAATGCATATTTACATTGATAATAAGATGTAAAAGTATATCAATAAAAAAAAGTAAATTTGCATTCAAGTGGGCTCTTGATAAAAAAAAAAGGCATATGCTTTATTGAAATTCATGTTTATATCCATTACAGCTAAAAGTCTGTTTGGTAAGAAGGTAAATTTGTCATTGCAAAACTAACCCAACTTTACAATTTATATGAACCGTTTTACACTCTACACATTTGCATTCACACTTATTTGCATCATTTCGAAATGCAGCCTAAAAGACTATTGAATCGATCGGCGAATCACTGACTTTGATGAAAGAAAAACTCACTGGATTAATTATTGGAACAAAATTAGCAAGAACAAACTAAGTGGAGGGTTGGGATTCAGAGATCCGTATAAGTGTTTAATAGAGCTCTTCTTGGCAAACTGGCTTGGAGGTCAACTGTGGATTCTACAAGTTTGTGGGCAAAAGTAATTAAAGCAAAATATCTAAGAAACAAATGTTTTCTTTCATCCAACCTAAGTTCTCATGGCTCTTGGGGATGGAAAAGTCTTTTAGCTGGTAGCTGTTATCCTTGGAGGAATTTGTTGGGAAGTTGTTACTGGTGAAAAGATAGATATTTAGAACTCCCATTGGGTTCTAGGGTTGAGTGGATACAAAACCTATGGCCCTAAACCAAACAATCCCAGGTTGTCCAAAGTCTGTGACTTAATAGATCCAAGCCAAGGTGGCTGGAATAAGAGGTTAATTGAGGAAAATTCCATCCCCCAGTTGCAACTTGCAAAGCAAATTCTAAGTATCAAGTTGACCTCTCATAGATGGGAGGATGAGCTCTTTTGGAACCCACACCCACAAGGTAAGTTCACTGTTAAATCGGCTTACTTTCTTGTCAAAAAAAAAATCATACATTGGTTCGGAAGGCCCAAATTGAAGAAGGATGCTGGCTGTCCTAATTAAGGATTATAAGTTCAGTTTAAGAGATATCCTGCTTCTCAGCCAAGGTTTGGATGTTTCCTTTACCTGGGTCAATAGGAAAGCAAGCAAGGTTGCCCTTGCCCACAGAGTGGCTAATCAAGGCATTTTTAAGTCAGGGTCTTCTGTCAACAGTTCTCCAGAGTGGTTGTCTGAGTTCCTGGCAATTGATTTACAAAAACTCTGCCCTCTCCCCTTCTAGTTCTGCAGTTGTTTTTTCTTTTTGGTGTTTTGTAGTAGGTCTTTTGTGCTGCTGTGTTTTTCTGGTTCGTTTAATTGATTACCACGTTTACTAAGAAGTCAATTATATTTTTTTATTAAACATTTAATAATATCACAGGTTGATCCATTCAGACGGGGCCGTGGAACAGCTGACCCCAAAACCGGTTCCGTTTCGGTCGGTTTTTTAAATATTGCTTTCATTACATGTAACTCGTCATTTAATTCCAGCCACGATTCAGATTTTCGAGATTAACCTCACCAATGACGTCATTCTATACGCAGGCAGATACGACCTTAGTGCGCTTTCCACCACATTTCCGATCTGCGCTTTCCACCGTATCTTTTCCGCATCATATACATTTTCCCCTCTTTTAATCATTTCCCTATAAATATTACTGATTGATATATGCTTACTCTCTCTGCCTGTGCCCTCTCCCTCTCTTCCTATACGCTTCTCCTCGCCTATCTCTCCAGCTGTCGCCTCCGGCAAAGACAACAAGTCAACAACCACTCATGTGTCCCTCCGGCGACACAGTCCCACCGAGTCAGGAACCAACGAGGGTATCAGTATCACACTGCAGGCAGGCATTCGAGGTTCTCGACACAGACCGAGACGGTAAAATCAGTCGCGACGACCTCCGGAGTTTCTATGCGAGATTCCCCGATGCCAGCGATGAAGATATTGGGTCGATGATATGGGTGGCCGATTTCAACAAAGATGGTTTCGTGGAGTACGACGAGTTTAAGCGGGTTCTGGGTTGCGATTGCAGGAGAAGCTCGCCCCACGCGAACTGGGTGATGGAGGATATGTTCAAGATCATAGACAAAGATGGAGACGGCAAAGTTGGCTTCGAGGACTTGAGGATTTACATGAACTGGGTTGGAATCTCCGCCACTGATGAGGATATCTGGGCCATGATTAGATTGGGAGGTGCAGATGGAAAAGAGGGCATCTCTTACGAGGGTGTGCTCAAGATATTGGCCGTTGGTTGATTTTGCCGGTTCATCGTAGTTCAGGATCCTCGAGATCGAGAGCTGTGAATGAAAAAGAAAAGATGATGTAACTCTGACCTATTTCAGTAAATGAAGAAATGAATCAAGTAATTTTATTTTACTTCTACCATGTGTCTGTGTCCCTGTGTTTTTGTGCAGATTTCAGATTACAAAAACCACAAACAAGATTAAAAAAATGCATGTTAATTTTCTTCTCCAACAAATAAAATACAAAGATCAAATTTTCGTTTGATCCATTTGGTCGCTATGTGAGAAGAACAAATTCGATTTCTAGTGGTGTCTGAACCAGAATCAGGTACCTGACATCTTGACCTCAGGCCTAAAACACAGAAACGAACGATTTTATTTTGATTTGAGACACGTCTTTAAAAGAGAATCTTGCTTACTGCCTTAGTTTTCTCTGTGGTATATAAGAATCTTGCTTAGTGCCTTAGTTTTCTCTGTGGCAAGTAAGAATCTTGCTTAGTTGAAGGATAACGACTTGATGTCTCAGTTGTTACACAGGAAAAGCATCCACGTCAACAATAAGATGCTAGGATAAAAAAACAGCACTGCTTAATGGTGATATGTTGAATGATTTTTTTAATCAATTTCTTAAATCATGTAATTCTACATCCACTTAAAATTATCTCATTTCCAACGGCAAAATATCCCTTGTTTAGAAGTCAAATTTGATCGACTTCACACTTTCGGTGGAAAATATTAAATTTTATTCAAAAACCGGAAAAGATCAATCCACAGATACAGACAATCAAACACAAACAACTAGCAAACTACAAGAAAAAACAAGACTCAGCCTCGAGACAAGACACTGATAAACCTACTGGATTCACTAAATAAAATTGAAGAGGGGCACTGCTAACAGCCAATCCTGGAAAAAGAAGACCATGTGTAACGATGAGGGGTGATTTGGATAAATAGAGGACACGTGGGTATAGATTACCAACTACACAATGATTCAGCGGAATGCCCACCTCAGCAATGCAAATCACTTCGGAGTCCTAGTCACTTCATAAGGCACCGAGCTCTCCGGGATCACGACGTGGAGCTATAGGCCTTATCTGCATCCTAGTTATCTAGCTCGAAGATCTCGGAAAGGCTTTGTGAGGCCTACGACAACTTGACTATATAAAGAGAACTCACCCCTAGCAGAAGGTACGCACGATTATTTGCTCACTAGCACTCTAATACTCTAGTATTCAGTTTGCATCCATAATACAATACTGACTTAAGCATCGGAGCGACCTCGCCGGATTAGCCACCCCGGGTTCTTTGATCCTTTATCTTGCAGGTAGGTCCAACTCATCACACAACTAAGGTCCAAACCATTTTCCAACTTGGAGCATCCAGATCGCACACAATCAATTGGCGCCATCTGTGGGAAACTAACGAAAAGTCTAGTTTCTCTATCTTCATCCATTCCACACTTTTTAATAGCATCTTCTAGCAGCACCGGTAAAAGCATTGAGATGAATGCCACTAGGGGGCAAGATAACTTGACACCGCTCCCTCAAGGCCCCTCAGTGACTACTGGGCAGTTTACTATTCCCCTAACTGCTTCAGGGATCCCCACTCTGTTAGTGCCTCAAATGACTCAGCAGATCAATGATCCCTCCTGGGATCAGACGCTCTCAGTTCGACGACCTCGTTTAGAGTGTCAAAGCAATGCAACTCTAGATGCAGCAGATGCATCGGTTTCAACAATTCCAGCATTATTACTTCTACCAGCAATACCAACAACAGTTTCCACCATTACAACCGAACCAGCCAACAGGACAGTATTAAGGGCAAACTCAGAATCAGAATTAGCATCAGACTCGTCAAAACGTCTGTCAATCTCCCCCTCGGGGTGAGAGAACCTTGTAGGTACCGGTCCCTCCCAGGGGTCGGACCCCACCTTGGGGTAGAGTAGATGAACAGCCCACTCCCCTGTTTCTCAAAGAGGGAACTCGAAGGACAGGCCCAAGATGAGACCCCTTGGCACCCTGTGACAGCCAACACCAGTCTTGTGACGAAGAAGAAGCAGGAAGAAGGACCCCTGATCCACTTCGTCCCAGTATTCGAAGCAAAATAGAGATACCCAATAACACCAAAGCCGGCAACACAAATGTAGAGCCGAGCTGGACCGACCCACTCATTGATTACCTGCTCCACGAGACCCTACCATCTGAACGTAATGCAGCTCGAAGGGTAGGGCATCAATTAGCTCGGTACGTTCTTATAAATGGGTGGTTGTACAAGAGGTCTTTCACGCTCCCCTACCTACGTTGCTTGCAGCCTTTAGAAGCAAACCGAGTACTCCACGATATTCATGAAGGGCTTTGTGGAGGACACTTGGGGGGCAAGGCACTCAGGCAAGGATATTACTGGCCTACTTTGAAGGCAGACGCAATCGGGCTCATTAGAAAATGTGATAACTGTTAGAGGCACACCAACATCCTCCATCAACCTGCGCCGATCTAAGGTACTTAACCAGCCCGTGGCCCTTTGCGCAATGGGGGATAGATATCCTCGAACCATTCCTGCCTACAACCGGGCAGAGAAGATTCTTAGTAGTGGTAGTGGACTACACGAAGTGGGTAGAGGCTAAGTCCCTGGTGACAATTACGGCCCGGAACGTGCATAACTTCTTTTGGAGGAATATAATATGCCGGTTCGAACTATCTAAGGTTCTAATATCGGATAATGGGAAGCAATTTGAGGATATTAAGTTCCAGAACTGGTGTACCGAGATGGGTATCCAGTAAAACTTCACTTCGGTAGCATATCCGCAGGCGAACGGACAAGCCAAAGTAATGAACAAGGCCATCCTCCGCGGATTGAAAGCTCGTTTAGCGTGAGCTAAGGGTTTGTGGGTGGACGAGCTGCCCAGTGTCTTCTGGGCCTATAGGACGACTGTCAAAACCGCAACTGGTGAAACACCCTTCAACTTGACATATGGAACAAAGGTCGTGATCCCTATCGAGATCGAGGTACCGACCTTGCAACTTGATGCGTATGACGAGAGGGTCAATGACGATGAGCTCCAGACCAACTTAGACCTGATTGAAGAAGTACGCGACCTGGCCTATATTCGAACTGTGGCCTACCAACAGCGGGTTGCTCGGTATTACAATGCTCGGGTCAGGAAACGACAATTTCGAGTTGGCGACCTGGTGCTCCGCAAAGTAATGGTACCTGAGCCCGGTGCAAGTAAGCTCGGACCGAATTGGGAGGGTCCGTACCGGGTGAGACGAGTGTTCAGAGAGGGTACTTACGAGCTCGAGACTATGGAAGGGAGATAGGTACTTTGGGCTTGGAATGTCAACAATCTAAGGAGGTATTACTTATGAGCTCGTGACTTCAACGTAACCAAATATTTACCAAGTCCACAAGGCCACCGAGTTGGTAAAAATGACATCAATTTCGAGAGAGGACTATGAGTCACTCCCAGAGCCTAAGGGCTATGGTGCCGAGCTGACAAAGACCTCGGCACGATATAAGTCCCAGTCGCCTCTTCGGCAAGGGCAACCTAAGACCTAGTCGCTTCGGCATAGGCAACCAAAAACCAACCGCTTCGGCATGGACAAATAAAAAATTAGCTCGTGGACAGACATGCCAGGCATATATACCATACAGTGCCTGCCCACTTCGGCGTACGTCAAGATTAGCTTATCAATACTTGTGCTTACTTCGTCAGTTCGGTGCTTCGAAGTATTCCACACTTAGAAAATTTCGGGCAAGTGAAGTTTTGTGCATGCAAGATAAATGGCCAAAATATTTCATTCATTTAAATGGGAGTTCATTACATTAAAAAAAACAGGGAAGAGCATTACTACCGAACTCAGAGGTTCAATACACACTATATATACAAGAGGGTCCAAGAAAAGAGGCACAACTCAGTCTTCATGGGGCTCTTTGCCCCCTCCTTCCACAATCTCGACATCTTTGGTCAAGTCCACCTCCATTGATGTCTTCGCAGCAGCAACCTCATCGATCTCCATGACCTCGTCGGCCGCTGCGTCAGAGTTCCCCGACCTATTCCCAGCTTCTAGATCAATTTCGTCATCATCATCTTCCTCGGAGTCTGGATCTTTGCCTGCTGCCTGAATCACAGTCTTTATCGAGATCCCAATTGTTGTGAGCAGTCAAATATCGGGCTGGGGAAATGCACATCTCGCCAACTAGTGGCAGACCTTGAAACCTTTGCGGAAAGCCGAAGTAGCTGTTTTGTTCACAAAACTATCGAACTCCGAAGAAGCTTTGTAAGCTCGCACAGCATGATCACCTGCTTCCTTCAACTCCTATGAGAAGATAGCCTCGTGTTCAGCAAGGAGAGCCTCCTTTTCCTCAATCTCCTTTTGTAGCTCGCAGATACGCTCCTCCTTTCGCTTCGACTCTGCCTCCCGCTTCGTCGCTAGCTCGACAACCCTTATCGTCTTGGACTGGGACTCCGCCGCTTTCGACTTGACAGCCAAAACCTTAGCCTCCAAGACTTTCGCTTTTGACTCCGAGATTTGTAACAGCTCTATCTAACGGTTGGACTGCTCAACTAGTGAGTGAATCATAGAGTTCGTCTGCAAAAGAGCCACACCAATTAGCAAGGCAAGAAAAGCATCAAGGACAGAGAAGCGAAGTTAGAGACATACCACCATCAGATGACCCCACGTAGTGGCAGCGAGCTCGGAACGCGACATCCCGATGCACTTCGACACCTCGGCAGGGAAGACGGCCTCCTTGCTCTTGAGAGTGGCAATCCGAGCATCAAAAATGCTTTGTCCCTCCTCGGGGGATGCGCTAAAGCAGCGACCTCGGCTTGGACGGGTTGGGGCTCAAACTCCTAGGCCACCTCGGGCTCACGGGCTGCCGACCTGGATCCCTGGTCATCTTCGACCAGGTTGATGATGGGTGCATCCTCTTTCCTCCTCGGGGGTGCAGGTGCGGTGGGACTGGCGACGAGCTTTGCGTCTTGGGGATCACTATGAGATGCCTTTCTCTTTTTCCTCTTCTTCATGTCGGTAAAAAGATTGGAGATAGGGATATCCGCCATAGTACCTGCAACACAGACACAGACTTAGCAATGAAATCAATGGGAAAGAAAAAGTCCAAGTGTGCGAAACCGAAATGGAGACCTACCCGGACTCAGCCCCGCACTAACAAACCTCTCCTTAGCTAGGAAGTCGTCCATTTCCAACCTGAGCTTTGCCCAAGCACGGACCTATTCCCTCATCTCCTTATCTAACTTGACGTCGGGGTCACAGATGATTGTCCCTCAATGCGTCGGAAATGGCCATCCCCCAACCATAGTGACAATAAAGTAATGTCTCTTCTAGGCCAAAACTTTATTGGGGAGGCCATGCAGGATCTTGTACCCAGGTCGGGGGGTGAGGTAGTAGTTACGGTGTTCGGAAGAAGGAAGGTTAGAAGAGTTTTTCTTAATAGAACAAATCGAGCTAAAGGTGTTCATGGTCAAGGGTTTATCATAGTGATGGAATAAGGAAATGGTACCTACTATGGAATAAACTGAGTTCGGGGGAAGCTGACCTATGGTTATGTTGAAGAACTGAAGAATTTCCATGATAAATGGGTGGAGTGGGAAGCGTAGCTCGGCTATCAGCTACTCCTCGAACACCACAACCTCATCAGGATCGTGGTCCCAAGGGTATCCCTACAAAGGGATACACCAGCCGTGGTCATCGGGGAACTTGTAATATTCGGCCAGTGTTTGCAGCCTCTCCGCAGTCATCACGGAAGGACTGAAGCAGTCCAGCCCCAATCTCCGAGAACTACAGGAACTCGAGGCTTCTTTCCCGGAGGCTCCTTGCTCCTCGGCTTGGGAATCCACCTCGAGTGGGCTGGGCTCAGAAGCTCATGTCGAGGTGCCCACTTTGTCAGGACCAGATTCTAATGCTTGGCCCGAGGAGTCCACCTCGGTTCCACTTGACTCGCCACTGACATCCAACAGACTACTAGTGCTAACACTTGACATTGCAATAAAAGGGAAACAAGTTGAAACGAAGGAGGCTTACCTCAACCGAAGAAAGGAGATGACTTCGAAGAACGAGGATAGATGATATCGACTTGGAAGTAGACACGTGAGCTCAAAACACGAACACAGATCACGACGGAGAAAATTGGGACCCCATGGCCCCTATTTATAGCCACTGTAGTCGATTTTCGACGAACAAGATTGATGTAATCCGATGACTCCCATGAAAACCAGCTGCACTCCTATCGAGGCAGAAATCAATTGAGCGCAGGTTTTGATGTCTACGGGGTTGATAAATCCGCATGACATTCGTGCGCCCCTGATACACAATTTGGTTTCCTAGTCGAACCGGAGGGAATGCTGAGAACGAACCGTCAGACCGACTGAAGCCAAGTCCACCTCAACCCGACGTAAACTCCTCGCACCGAGTCATAACCCATGCACGAGGAGTGGGGGGCAATTGATGATGGGCGATTTGGCCTGACCTGATAAATAGAGGACACATGGGTATAGACTACCAACTGGACGATGACTTAGCGGAATGCCCACCTCAGTAAGGCAAATCACTTGAGTCCTAACAACCTCGCAAGGCACCGAGCTCCGGGGACCTTGGATGGTTGAAACTGTTAAATGCATTACGCAACAGGTTTTAGAAAGTTGTTGTCTCCTAACTTTCTGGGATCATGATGCGGAGCTTTAGGCCTTATCCGCATCCTACCCGAATCGGATGGACACGATAAACGTTATCATCTAGCACGTCATCCCCCTATCAGAGCAGAACGAACTCCCACTTATCTAGCTCGAAGATCTCGAAAGGGCTTCGTGAGGCCTATGACAACTTGACTATATAAAGAGCACTCACCCCCTAGCAGAAAGTACGCGTGATTATTTGCTCACTTAAGCATCGGAGCGACCTCGTCGGGTTAGCCACCCCAGGTTTTCTAATCTTTTATCTTGCAACTAGGTCCAGATCGTCACACAACTAAAGTCCAGATCATCTTCCAGCTTGGAGCATCCAAATTGCGCACAATCAGGTAACAACTATGAGAGCATTCCTCATGAATATTTTTTGTTTTCATTTATTGTTGGAATTGTCACACTAGCAAAATAAAACAAAAATATGTTCTTGAACTCTGTTTTTGTTTTCAAGGGAAAAAATAAGTTGGTTTTGTTTAAGAAAAAACAATAAATGTTTTTAGAACCAACAAAATCTTGATTTTTAAAATAAAAATAAATTTCTAGTATAAAAATTATACGATTTATGGAACATGATCTTGAACAAGCAGATGAAAACATGTTTTTCAAATCAAATTCAAGAGCATGTTATTGGTTTCAATTTTGAAAATAAAACACATACACACAACCAAGAACATCTTTTCAAACAAGATGGTTTTTGATTTGTTTTTGGAACCAGCTACTAGAAAAACAATTTAAGTTGTAGAACACCTATAAATGAGCTGCCCTGTTTCCTTCTCTGGCACTGAACTGAAACACATTTAATTCTTGCACCATCTTGTGAATGTCTTGGATGGTAAAACAAGATTCCTTCTATGCAACCTTGTTGGAAGACGATAAACATTTGAACACAAACGCTTTGAGTCACCTTCCACTATGACATTATTAAGATTCTTTTCCTTGATGAACTTTAAGCATTCCAGTACAGCTAAAGCTTCTAAGTGCTGGGAGAAACTGCTGCTGATTTGCCAAATTTTGCTGCCAAAAGACTCCTTTTTTGTCCCTGAATAAAACCAAAGGATGCTGAGCCTGAAGTAAAAAAATCACCTTCTGTGTTTGCCTTTAAAAAGCCAGGTTTTGGTGGGATCCAAAAATGTATTTCGCCTACCTCTATTCTAAGCTGAGGTCAAGCTGGAATTGAGCACCAGCTATGTTGCTTGCTGGAAGTTCTTCATATACCTATTTGCATTCACAATCAGAGAAAAAGGGTCTGGGTCAGTATTAGAGAAAACAATTGTTTCTGCTATTCCGTATCAGCCAAAGAACTGCTGAATGCTCAAATGGTTTATTTGTTATTTACTTCAGACGAGGAGAGTGGGTCAATCCAATCTCCCCGCCATTCACAAAAGGAGTCATAACACTTGGTTGCTCCCACTTCATATTAAAGAAGCAACTGATGATTTTTAATTTTTAAGAATTGTTCAAATCAAAATAACTGTGTGGGGCCCGGTTTTGTATGAATCACACCACAGATGGATATCGGTTCACGTTGACAAAGCCTCTTGCTCCATGGTGTTTCATTTGGCAAATCAGTTGGATCATTTTTAAGGTAGTGATTTACACTGATAGCCGCCACTTCAACCAAATTTCATAATTTCATATTGGTGCCTGAGGGAACAATAGCTGGACCAATATTGTGCTGGTTCTTGCACTGCAGATCTCAAACCTAGATAAAGGAATAGGGGTGCTCACGGTTCAGTTAACCACAGACCAAACTGAGGGTATATATTTGAAACCATATCGGTCTCTTTGGTGGTTCAGTTAACCACGGACCAAACTGAGGATATATATTTGAAACCATATCGGTCTCTTTGGTTTGAGATAATTGTGTTGAAGAAATTGAATAAACAATTTCTAAGAATAAGAAAAATAATTTTGTATTTTCTGCCTTGTAATTACTTTTTATTTTTTGTCTTTATTATCTCATTTATGATCTCATGTGCTGAACCGTTTGACCTGGACGGTTGAACTGCTGACCCAGCACCCAGAGGGAAAAGTGGTTCTGTTTTCAGTTTAATTTATAAAACATTTGCAATGTTTCCAAACCGAGGCCCTGGAATTGAAACTCCAAATCATAGATTATCCATGACAGTTAAAGTATCAAACAACCATCTTTTTTCTTATTGAACAGCAAATTATTGGATTCTCAAGAGTGATATTATGAGATGGACTGTCCATGGACAATAACAATATGGGTTACGTGATGGTTCATTATCTATATCCTACAAGACAAACATGACAAGGCAATTTTACTTGTATCAGAAAATCAGATTGGTTTTCAACCATAACAGTTTTTCATACTTGCACAGACCACTACTGCTCCCTACAGAGTACAGATTCCTAAACCTCATAGAAAACAGAGCTAATCATGGTACATTGCTGGTCTTGCCACATTGACAAATTCTAGATTGTTTCTTCCTGCTTTGTTGCAAGAGTCATGGGATACCATGATATATTCACTGGTTAACTAGCCAGAGGTTTCTTCTTTGGGTACTTGAATTACCTCCAATTTTGATGGCCTCCTAGTAGAAAGTCTTGTACAACAATGCCTCAAGCTGATAGAAAAGGCCTATAATTTTCTGCATTAGATGTCTTGTTTAGGCCTCAGGGGATTTGGAATACCATATGGGACAAATGTATCAATGTTCAACTCCAGCTAAGGGTAGAAACTAGAGTACCTAGATAATATAAAAACAGTAGCACAAGTTCCTTGTTTAGTAGCCAAGCAATCAACAGATAACATATGTAACAACTGGACTCCTATCCAAATAAAAGATCATCATCTGGAGAGATAAAAAACAAAGAACTGAATTCTGGAAAAGAAAAAACAGAAAAAAAAAAACTCAGTAGAGCTCTTAAAACATGAAAATATCTTGATGTCCTCTTTCCACCACCTGGATTATCCTTTGATCATGTCAGAATTGAGACTGAGAGAAAGTTCTGAAGCTAATGGACGTTGATTTTTTTTTTTTAGGTCCATTTTGGATTTAAAAGGAGTAATAGAGCATTTCATAAGCCCCAAAAAAATATCATTACCATGAACTTCACACACCACATCCCCCCCACATACGCACAACATCTACCTTTTATAGGAAATAAAAGGAATAGAAGTAAGCCAGTAACATTCATGATGTACCATCTATCTTAAAGTGAGTACAGTCTCCAAGACTGTCCTATAAGAAGAAAATAGTTACCAATTTCTACATGCCCCACCATTGTTGCTCATTGCAACCTAATAGCTAGGCCTAAATCAATAAAAACAAGCCCCACTTATGACCAAGGGAGGTTCCATAACTTTCTTGTCAAATTACAGTTAACAAACAGGAAGACACGAAATACCCATTTGCTCTAGATATAAAGTAGAAAAGCCGATGAACCCCTTTGTAAACATCAATAATAAGTATTCATCAAGACAAACCCACAAAAATGAAAACACAAATTTGGGTACCTGAGAGAAAGTGAAAAGGAACAGACTTTAATCACTTGCCTAAAAGAAACAGACTTTAATCACTTAATGTCATGCCATATCAAAGAAATAGCACTTAGTCACTTGTTTGAATTGATTTAAAAATGGACCAGTGATATACATCAATAACAATCCTTCATTGGTAAACAGGGTTAAATGTCACCTAACTTATAATCTGTCCGGCATAAATGTTTGTCAACAAACTAACAACTTCTTACAGTCATCAATCTTCAGATGATAAAATTGACTCTGATAAATCAAGGGATGAACAATGGGCCAGACTGGCCTGAGTCCTGCCTGGCTGAAGGTAAGGTTGCACCTTAGGTTAAAAACTTAAAATATAGGCCCAAAGTCATTGAGATCATAAAGTTGGAATCTTATTATGAATCCAACACACAAGACCATTTACTACAGGAAACAAAGTAATGTCATATTGATGTCTCCAACTTTCCTGTACCTTGATAGGAAGGAAAAAATACATAAGATGCATCTTATGCAAGTAGTAAAACTGAGGAAACTCAAAAAATTAATCCATATATTTCTATACATTAATAAGAAAGAAATATGATAATGTAGGAACAGACTGAGCCCTCCAAATCGGGTGTTTATCTTTTTTCTTTTTCAACCTTTCTTTTAATCTAGAGTGGTAGGAGTAGGGGTGCTACATATGGTCCTTAGTTCTCATTAATATCATTCATTCATGTGTTTCATATTTGTACAAGTGTCATTTCCTTGACGATGTATTCAGGGTTAGGAGAAATATAAGAAACCTATGATCTGAAAATTAATAGAAATATATAAAGCATAGAAGTATATATTACCCATGTCATCCTCTTCACTTGATATGGATTGCTTCAGAATTGACCGATAGACATAAGGTAATTGTGACACAACAGACTGTTTTAGAAGTTTTCCCATGTGATCAGCACACCTGTTTGTAGAAAAGACAACATTTCAAAAAATGTCACAAAAAAGTTAACTAACAAAATATTCCTATGCAACAATCAGAGCATAGAAGGAAAGACTCTTTACCGTTTAGCAAACCATTTTTTACCAGTAAAGGTAAATTTTTATTAAGCATTTTACAAAACTTGAGGTTACAATTCTCCAGGTAAGTTAACCACACATAGGAATAACCAAAAACAACTACAACCGCAATCTCCAAACCGAGCCTTACAATTTAGCCCAAAATAATTGCTGACTTACCTTTAGCAAACCTTTGTTGTTGTTCAGAAAACCAGTTCCACAATTCATCAATATTTTGAAATGTGGATCATGTACTTCTCAATCTATCATTGCCACCTTTTGGAGGTGGGTCCAAAGATACAATCTCAGGAGAAAATGAGTACTATCCAAGTCAATCTGACAAAGAGAAACTGTCAGTGGATCCACACTATTATCAGTAAATTACTCCCACATTCTTTTTGAGAATGTAGGTGGGACCCATGGTAAATATGTTTTCCCCAGGTATCACTTACCCGGGGAAGTGTTACCCTTCTCCACTTGGGAAAGTACTTTCCCGGAGAGTAAATGCTCAAAATACAATCTGCCCAAAATACCCATTAAGGCCCAAGGGTAAAAATGACAAAAGATAGAAAAATTAACCACTTACCCAGGAAAGTGGGTGAGGCAAAAGAACATGGGAAAGTTGAGAAGCCTCATTTACCTGTATAAATTTAACAAAAACGAGCATGGGTAAGTGCACTTACCTGGGTAAACGGCCTCTTGGTAAAACAAACAAGGCCTTGGTACATATCTCCTACCTAGACCTGTTCATGGGTCGGGTAGCTCAACGGGCCGGCCCGGCCCTATCTAAGTCGGGCTTGGGCTCGGGTCTAAAACATCAGGCCCATCCTTTTATTGGACTAAGCCCGAGCCTGACTTAATAATGTATTATATAATAAAAATATATTTTATATAATAAAAAAACATATATAATATATTTTTTCTTTATTATTCTTCTAATCTTCTCTTTTTTTCAAGTAATAGTGAGATCTTTCATTATTTGTTTAGGTTTTGAGGTCTTTTAATATAAATAAAATAGTTTTTAATTGAATAAAAAAGGAAAATATCTTTTTTCCAAATTTTGGGTCAGGGTCGGGCCCAAGCTTCGGGCTTTATATGAGGGTCAGGCTCGAGCTCAAGACCTAGGCCTGATGGTCAGGCCGGGCTCAGGCTCAAGCTCGTGCATAAGCATATTCTGTTAATATAGAAGCAACGCCCAGCCTGAACCTGGCCTGGCCCGGCTTGTGAATACTCCTACCTAATATTGACAAATTAAAATCCAACCAAATCATAAATGTAAAATCTTATGTAGTTAACCAACACACCAAAAGCCCTAAGGACAATTGGAACATGTCCAGCCAAGCCATTAACCTTTAGGACTGTGACATATCACCACACTGGCACACTTTGCAACCAAGCATCTTGGAGGCTTTCTCTCTAGGCAAAACTCACTTTGGCAACAGCCCTTTTCACAGCAGCTCTCACTCCAATGCTGGGTAGCTCTTTCCACAATAGGTCTGATACCAATTGTGATGTACTTGACCAAAATGCAAAAACCCTAGGACTACTATTAGAACATGTTATGCCAAGTTCTTTAACCTTTAAGACCATAGCATAACGTAAACCTTAATGTTAATGGCTTGATGTGTTCCAACAGTTAAAGAACTTCTGGAACATGTCAAGCCAATCTGCTTAACCTTTAGACGGTAACATTAAGCAATTCAGGTCTTGCTTAAAAGAAACGCTCAATTAACTTCCTATTTTAATATGATTAATTAGAATCTGCCGATGATACCTAAAAGACATGATAGCTAAACAAACTGATAACCAATCAACTGGTATTCATTAGAACTCATGGGGGAGGGGGGTTCTGACTGATCAAAGTTCTTCCGGTATTGTATCCATGTGGCGTCGTAGAAATTGCCCATTAAACATTCAAATTTCTACTATTTCAAAGGATAGAACATTTTCTAAATCTAAGAATGCATCATGAACATACCGAAAAAACCCGACTGATCTTTATAGAAATCAATTGCTAAATCAATTATACTTGAAAAACATTAAAGAACAACACCAAATAAGGGATACACATAAGTTCTAAAATCTCACACTAGCAAACATGCGCCACTGAGAATCTCCTTTTTTTCACTCCTTAAAAATCGTATAAATAATTCTTTAGGAACCAGAAATCTCGACGAAAAAGATACTCTTATTTGCAAGAAGTTGAATTTTATTTACTGCAAAACTGCAAGCATAGTCATGCAACCAATATCTAGGGTTAGGGTTTAATAGTGTACTTCTATCTTACCATCAGTTTCATTTGTTCTCTGGAATCTGGAATCTTTGAACCAAACTAGCCTGAAATTTTCCGGAGTGCCCCTTTCGTTTCATCATGCCCGCTTGAACGAATCGTAACCTTTAGTCGGAATCCCTGAACCTTGCTCTAAATTAGAAACCATCAATTTTCTTAATTATTCTAAAAATTCCTTCCGATCTTTTGACACCCAGAAAAAATGCGCCAAAACAAAGAAATACAATGTAAAAATTAAAAAAAATAAATAAATAACAAAAAGAATTAAAGGCATCCACTGTGAAAGAAAGCATGGGAGAAAAAAATCTTTGTTTTGCGAAGAAAAGACATATAGCGAGCTTGTGCGTGAATCTAACACCATCTTTTTCAATAATCTGAGTGGCTCCAGATTCGTAATTAACGATATTGTAGCAATGCAACGGTGATTTGATGGGGTTGGATTCACGCAGAAGCTTGTTATATGTCCATCTCTTATCTACAATCATCCAAAGCGAGGTTCCATTGAATACAGAGAGACTGAGAGGGATCTCGAATTGCCTTCCAATTCCAAAGGTCCATCTACATAACTATATTTCATCAAACAAACAAAGTACCCAATTTGGCAAAGTAGCAAATGCGCTACCATTTTATTATTGACAAGGAGATACGTGATTCCCCAGTCCCAACCCAAGTAACTTAACCCATTTTTTTGGGTGCAAATCGGGTCGGGTTATCTCGGGTTGAAGTCAACCCTAATCTCGTAATCCGTTATCTCGGCTAACAAAAAGGTGTTATTTTAACAAATTACCTCTCGTTAAGTTTGGGAAAGTGCAGTGCAGTGCCGTGCAATGCAATTTTCCAAAATGGCCTTATCGCCCCAATTACCCAATGCTCAAAACAAAAGGCGAATTTTTAGCTTAAACCTGATAAGATCATTCTGGTCTGAACGAGAACTGTTCTCTGTCGGAGTTCTTGCTGAAATCTCACTGTCAAGCGGTTTCTACAAACAAAGAAACCGAAATATTGGCTGCTTATCTACCTCCTAATCTCCTATGTCCTATCCGGTGAAGGATTTTTTCCTCGTCATCACTGTAGAAGGAGGAGTTTTTATTCACCATCACCGGAGAACAAAGCATTTTTATCGCTATTCTCTAAGAAGAAGAAGGTTACATGTTTGTATACGGTAAAAGAAAGGGTATCAAACCGTGTGCTTCTTTTATTTATTGATTTATTGAGTATTCAAAGAAAGCCAATGTTTTTAGGGTTTCATTTTGTCAACAAACCCTATTTTTTTTTATAGCACTCATTTTTATAGACAATTGATATTCTTATATATTTTGTTCAAGTTTGTTATGTATATCCTTATCATATTCGTTGTTTATTGTGCTTTTCCCACCTTGAAGATGTGCCAATTAGTACCTTTCCTAGCAATGTTTTTTAACCCGTCGTTAACCTGGTCAACTTTCTGGGTTTAGTTCTTACAAAACCCGACGTTGCCCCAAAAGTCAACAAAGCCATCAACCTGGATGGTTGAACCATCAAACCAGTGATTTAGTCAATAGGTTGCAAGTTGGATACTAACTATATATGCAAATATCGGGAGGCTATAACTTTGTACTCCAATGTACCATTGATGTGATTTTTTTATTAGGTGAATTTTTTAAACTACCCTTGTGGTTTAGCTAATTGACTAAATATACTCTTATAACTGTTTGAAAAGTGACTAAAACTATCCCTATTATTTTTGACAATTGACTAAATGTACTCTTATAACTGTTTGAAAAGTGACTAAAACTATCCTTACCGTTAGCTCCTATTAATAGAAAGACAAAAAAAAACTATTTTACCTATTATTTTTCTTCAAATTTTCAAAATAAAATAAGGAAAAATTTAAGATTGACCACCAATAAGAAAGTTTATCAGGGTATGTGATATAGATCCCGCCGTAAATAACATAACAAATGTCGAAACAATGAAATGGGTATATCTATCTTCAGGAAAAAAAACTTTAAAAGAATTGCATATATGAAAAAACACAAACCCGTGAAGCTTTTCTCTATATTGTTCAGCAATTTCTATTTTCATTGCCATGATGCCATCATCACTAACATGTTCAAACCAGTGAGATTGAAGCTTTCTGTTAATCCATAAGTGGAACTCGTATTTCGAGTTCTTGGAACAAGGTCGTTTGAAGGGTTTAAGCGTTAGTTGATGTGTCGATTGTAGGAGAGAGGCCTCAACGCAGGTGATTAACAACCAAACAACCTTACTCTATTTTTAGTTTTCTTTTCAGTGTTGAACCAGTGGTGATGTTGTTGTTTCTATCGGTGGTGTGGCTATCAAGGAAGAGAAGGTTAAAGAGGGATGATGATAGTATTGGGTTTTAAAAAAAATTATGTATCACATGGTGTCACGTGTGTATGGATTTTGGCGGAACATTAACGGATGCTAACGATAGGGGTAGAGTTAGTCAATTGTCAGAAACAGTAGCGGTATTGTTAGTCAATTTTCAAATAGTAAGGATACACTTAGGTGGCGTTTGATTGCACTTTTCAGATGTCTAAATCTGAAAAAGTTGCTTTTCAAACACCATCAAGCGTTTGGTATGCCCTCTTATTAGAGATCTGAAATTGGATTTCAGATCTTAATTTCTAAGAGGCAATTGCTTAATGGGTCAGACATAATTAAGAGGTATGTAAAAGACATAAATGCCCTTAAAAATTTTAATATTACATGTTTTGCCCTGTGTAAGTCGAATCAAACCTCATTGTGAGTTTGCAACCTAACGAAGCTCCATCGCCGAATCAAACCTCACTACGAGTCTGCAACCTAACGAAGCTCCACCGCTGTAAAGCAGTAGTTCCTTCTCTCTCGCTCTTACACTCTCTCTCTCCCTTACCTTCCCGTCATCGCTGCTGCAAGTTGCAACGGCGGTGATTCCTTCTCTCTCTCCCCCCTTGTCTTCCCATCACCGCTGTTGCAAATTGCAGCGGCGACGATTCCTTCTCTCTCGCTCACTATTGCTCTCTCTCTCTCCCCTACCTTCCTGTCCACCGTCGCTACAACTTGTAGCGGCGGTGATTCCTTCTCTCTCTTGCTCTCTCTCTCTCTCTCCCCTTTGTCTTCCCGTCACCACCGCTGCAACTTATAGCAGTAGCGGGTCCTTATCTCTCTCGCTCTTTCTCTCTCTCTCCCTTACCTTCTTGTCATCGTTGCTCTTTTCTCTCTCTCTCTCTCTCCCTCTCTCTTTCTCCCTCCTTGCAGTAGCGGTTTGGTGTGTAGTAATAATAATAATATTATTAATTATAAATTATTTTTATTAGTAATTAATAATTAATTAATATTTAATAATTATTTTTTATTAAACATTACTAATTATTAATTATTTTTATTAACTAGTAATTTTTAATTATTTCATTAATTTTTAAGAACTATTTTAAGTTTTATTTGTATAAATTATAAATTATTAATTATTTTAATATTTTTATAGTCATTAATTATTTTTTTTAATTTTAATCTTTTCATTTACTAATTAGTCATTTTTAATTTTTAATTTATTATTTTTTATTTGTATTGTTTTAATATTATTTTGAGGTTGAAAATTATTTTTTATGAGATAATGCAAATTGAATTCAACATTTCCAAATAGTATGTTCTAGGGGTAAAATAGTAAAATCAGTAAATTTCATATGGAAAGGGTTGATTGAATACAAACAAACTTATGGATCTAGAGCCTCTAAAAAGTAGAAAAGCATCTATGCCTCTTTTCAGATTTCAAACACTTTTAATATCTTTTTAACTTTTCAGACTTCAGATTTCAAATTTATCAAACGCCACCTTAATCAATTAGCTAAACCATAAGAGTAGTTTAAGAAATTTACCCTTTTTATTTTGGGTAACTTTTTGAGATCTATGTGTCCCAAGGAGCTAAAGGTGATTTTCCTTGCTATTTTCATGAAAGAAAACCCTTTCTTGTCCTGAAATTGCATATTTTAATATTTTTATACATAAAAAAATTAAAATTGAATTAAAAACATAAATTAAATATAAAATAATACATATATCATGTCTAAAATATAATTATACATTATTTATTGATAAAATATGTAATTGTACATATATACATACATACACACACACACACACTTAAAATATATAAACATTAATGTGGCACAGTTTGACCCATTCGACCTAGACGATCGAAATGGTAACCCACGACCTAGAGGCAAAATGGTTTGACCTCCAGGTTGGTTTTTAAAACACTATTTGTTAGTGGTTATTATGTTCGGATTTTTTTAATACCTTTGTTAGTGATTATTAGATTCAAAATTTTTTAAGACTACTTTCTTCTTGAAACCTTAAAGTCAATGCTTTAGAATACCATATGATTATGAGTATTGTTTTATTCCCCTTATTCTTCCACTAGTCCCCTACCTTGTGGAAACCCACCTACACCCAGTGGTCTTTAATATCTATTTGTCCATGTTACTATGTATCTAATGGATGATAGGGGGTTAATGGAAAGTGTAAAAAACTAAGGGGGGAACTATTGAATAATAAGAGAAAGAGGAAAGGTGCTTCACAAGATTGATGAGGGTAAACTCAAGCTACCTTTAGGTTGGCATTTATTCAACTCATCTCCTACAAGTATCACATGAGGTGGGACCTCAATGAATTCCCTGTTAAGAACATCCTCAATTAATACATATCTACTAATTGAAACATTAAAGAAAGACAATAAATTTAGTAAAATGAACATAATATGGAATGGATCATGCATGATGAAGCATTAATGACCTATTTCTTCTACTATTTAATGTTGATTTAAAATGTGTATTTGTGTGTATTCATATGCATAATATGTGATGGGTCATGGTATCATGGAATGGATATGCATGATAAAGCATTGATAATTTATTCCTTCTAATATTTAGTGTTGATTTGAAATGTGTATTTGTGTCTATTCATATGGCATAATATGTGATGAGTCATGAGATCATGGAATGGTTCATGAGGTAAATTCAAAAGGGGGGGGGGGGGGTTGTTTCAGAACCCAAATGTGGTAAATTCCTTCTAGTATTTAATGTTTAATCCGAAATGATTTTTATATATTCATGTGTCAACCCTAGTTCCTTTTTATAGAATTTGAATGTTGTCAGGGTTAATTTAGCCAATGGTTTATTAAAGTTTGGAGCTCTTGGATATAATTTTAACATTGGTATTTTTGTTTATCCAGATGTCAAGTAAGATGTACACTATCAACCTACATCATGGTTGCTACTTTTTGAACATACCACCAATGATATATAGTGGTAGTGGTGTGCCTGTAAACCACAATGTCGATGGTGATATTTTATCATTCATTGAGATACAATTATTGGTGAGGTGCATTATAGGAAGCCCAATGCGGACTTAGATGATGGGTTAGTAAGATTGAAATGTGATGATGTTATACTAGAGATGTTTTATATAACTAGGTGCAAGATGGCTGACAGGAATCTATCACAAGCTAGGCTTTCATATGTCGGACTATCATAGGCTGGGTTGTCATAAGTCGAGCTGTCACAATCTGGTCCATATGGTTATGAGCCATCACCACTTGCAACTGATCAGGTGGATGCTATTGATGAGC